GGCTAATAGCCATTGATGGACCTATTCTCCATCAATTGACCTAGTTCTTTTTTGAACCCTGTTATAGTCTTGGCCTTCACAACGTCCCCTGGCAATGAGTTCCACAGGTGACTGTGCGTGTGTGAGGAGTTCTTCCTTGTGTTTGTTGTAAACCCGCTGCCTGTTAATGTCATTGGGTGACTCCTGGTTCTTGGTATTCCAGTAGCATTTAGAGACTCTAGCCAAGGTACAAGGCCCTGTCATGCACAGATACAGAGTGAGAGCCAGTCTCCACCCCCAGGAGCTTACAGTCTAAATTGGCAAGACAGAAAAAAGGTGGGCAGGAGAAAGGAAGGATTATTCTCTCCATCCTGGGTCACACAGTCACTCTGGGTTTCAGACTGGAAATAAGGGGGAAATGTTTAATAGTCAGAGTAATTAACCACTAGAACCACTTACCAAGGTCCTAGTGGATTCTCCATCACTGGCAGTTTTAAAATCAAAGACTGGAGGTTTTTCTAAAAGTTTTATTGTAGGAATGAATGGGGCAGGTCTCTGGCCTGTGCTGTCAGGAGCTCAGCCTAGATGATCACAGTGGTCTCTTCTGGCCTGGGAATCGGTGCCTCCCTCGGCTTTGCCTGCCCCTTGTCAAACAGGCAAAATAAACTGAAAAGTCCCTGCCTAGATTTGCAGATTTTAAAGCCAGAAGGGACCACTGTGATCATCTAGGCTGAGCTCCTGCATAGCACCGGTCAGAGCACTGCCCCAGTGACTCCAGCACGTGGCTCCCTTCAGAAGACATCCAGCCTGGAGTTAAAGACTCCATGGATGGACTAGAACACAACAAGCTTAGGACCGGTGGTGTCTTAAGCCAGCCATAGACTGTGTCCTGAAATCTTCCTGGGTGGTGTTGGTTTGAGTGACGGCCCTCACGTCTTTACATTTTGGTCAGGGTCTGTCATCACATTTACCCAGTTCTTTGTTTCCTTTCTGTGGTGGTCGGATAGTTTAGGAAAGAGATCCCACATGGACTGTTAGAAAAGGCATATAATACATTCCCAGGGGATTCCCGTCTTCCCGATCAGCAGAGCTTGGATCTGGTCACAGGGTGCTTAGATGTTTTTAAATGTATCAGCTAACATGGTAGCTATGTCTATCGTGACTCTCACACACCTTGGGGCCAGGATAATAGACACGTGCTGAGAAACCCTTGTTATTTTAGAATAATAATACTGGATCCTTCTCCAGCACCTTCCATCAAAGGATCTGAATGTACTTTATACATTAATTTGTGATGCCTCTGAATGCCACTGTGGGATAGGGAGGGAGGGATTATTACTCCAGTTTTACAGATGGGGAAACTGAGACACAAAGGAGGAATTGGCTTCTCCAAGGTCAGCTCTATCAGAGTTGGAACCAGGCATCTGGGCCCTTGAGTGCCAGCCATGTGCTTTGACCACGTAGCCTCTGGTTTGATAGCAATTCACAGCCTCTTGCGTACACATGGTACAGGCACTACATAGCCAGGCGCTCGGCATATGCTTAGCAGCACTCCTGGCTTGGGAATACACCTCTATTGAGTGGGGCCCGAGCACAGCACGGTGGGAGCTGAAACACAGAATGTGGGGATTCAGTTTTGCACAGTGGCCCTTCATCGTTCCATGCAGGGTCACACAGCGCTGTGGGGCAGGCAATCAAGAATTCTCCCTGCCATGGAATTCTAAGCAAGGGTTAACCAGCCCGAAGGAAGGACAGGGCTCATTCTGCTCCACTCCTGCATGCCACTCTGGGACATTCCTGGGCCACAGAGGGAGCTGGAAGAGGCAGGGGAAAGATTCCTCCAGTTGGGCACAGCCCCCCCTCGCAGCTTCTGGCTTAGGGCATGCTGGGCTCAGCAGGGGGAGTATCAGCGCACTGAGTGCTGGGGCCAGGGGGATTCTTGGCTGTCCCTGGGGCTGCTTTAGCGGCCATGCAGTCCCCACAGCAGCACAGACTCTGGAGGGTGTAAACGTGATGTAAAGCTCCCCACCCCTACCCGGGCTGTGGCTCCCAGGAGACAGAACAGAATTTATCCCCATAGGATTTCAGAGGCATTTCTACAGAACATATTACATACGTCTCTAGAACCCTCTTGGTTTCAACCCTAGGATTTTTCCCCAGTAACACTGCCCTGTGTTTGAATTCCAGTCTCCCCCCACGCGGGGCATTATGGGCCAGTGGAGGAGTCGCTGGCCCAGGAGTCAGACCTGGCTCTGCTTTGTGACCTCAGGCAGGTCACTTCATCACTTGCCACAGGCACTGGAGAATGGCACTGAGAGCTCTGTGCAGAGTGCTTTGAGATCCAGGGCTGAAGAGCTAAGGACGATTCCTGTATTACTCTATTGCACTCCCTGGAACATTGAGACAACTCCTGACGGAGCTCTCTTGTGCCCTGGAGAGGAACAGCCCCAGTGATGTCATACCAGATAGATGTAAGTTGCCTTTTGTTGTATAACTTTTCTCTAGGCAAGAGAGCTCCCCATGCCAAGGATGAATCAGCCCCTGCTAATATACTCAGTCCGCCTCCCTGCATCACTTTCTGCCAGACTTCCTGATGGATGACAGTCAAGTCAGTCTTGGACTTTTGCCTCCTGGACCCAGCCATGCCCTCACCACTGGGACACAAGCAATGAGAACCTGCACTGCAGTGCCAAAAACCGAATAGGTGTTGTAGCTTTGTTGGCAATGGCATCGGTCCCTGTGCCCACAATGGGATTTTAGATGGAAGCACGTACGCTCTAGGAAGTGCCCAGCCAAAGCTGCCTGCCAGGAGCAGGTGCACAAACTGAGCTCCCCAGGGAGCTATCCATGCAGGATCACATCATCTGGAGTCAGAGGCGCATGTCTCTTTGGCTTCTTTCACTTCAGAACAAACATCACCGTGTTGTTGGGGGGCAGAGGGGAGGAACAAGAGGGTTGCATAACTGTGCTCCAATTCTGTGTTTCTGCAAAACACAGCGCCTAAGCCATCTAGTGCCTGATGCCTTTAGGACCTGAATCTAGAACAATCCAGTGTAGATTGTTAATTGAGTCAATTACTTTTCCAAAGCTGATCGCTAATCCGGATAATTATTCATAATGATATCTAACATTTCCACAGCTCCTTTCATCCTCACAGATCACAAAATACTTTGCAATCTTTCTGCTTTCTCTCTCTGTCTGTGTCCTTTGGAATGCAGCCACCTCTGAGGTGGAGTGCCACAGCAGTTTGAAAGCACACAGCAACTACACAACATCTCATGTCAGTGAAGGATACCATATCCACATAAACTTGAGAGGGAATTACAGAATGTATTGCCCAAACTGGCATTTATCCAAGACATTGGTTAATATCCCTCCTCTTGTGGAATGTGCAATCTGATATTTAATGAGCTCCAATTGTTTGGGCCTCAGTTTCAAAGTACACATAACAGACAGCACTGCCATGAGCACTCGACCCACAGCAACACATTTTGCCATTGGTTCAGTAGAGACCTTGCCTCTGATCACCAGGACCTGCGTTTTCCTTGGTGGTTTCCTATCCAAGCACATCCAGGCAACCCAAAGTGACATGGCTGCAGGCCGCCTGGATGAGCAGCAATTGCTAAAGCTTAACTTGGGGGCTCTGTGTGTCCTCATTTGGCCACAGCAATCAGCAGGGTTCCCCAATACCGTACATTATAGAGCAGCTGCAGATGATACTCTGGGGGTAGGATCCCCCCAGCTCCTCACTCTGGCCCCTGTATGCCATTGGGGCCAAGGGAGAATTCCTTTGGTGTAGGCACACACAATAGGCCCACACCCTACACTTTCCCCTAGGTAGGAGCATGCAGGAGGTGGAGCCAGTGCCTGGGAAGCAGTGCCCATGACTACAGCTGGTCTGTTTTGTGGCACCAGCACCAGAGAGGCCGCTGTAACTGACACCCTGGCTGAGTCACGATTTATTTTTTTAGAAAATTCACAGCAGTGTAAATGACAAAAATCCTGAATTTCACAGAGTTTCCAGAACGAAGTTTACAAGTAAAGTTAATCAATTTCAAGGCATGTGCATGGAATGAATTTTACAATTGAATGTCAATGATTTTTTACAACTAAAATCTGCAGCAAACACAAACATCTGCAATCCCCTAAATGTTCGTTTATTTCTGTTTTATTTGTGAATTAAAGTTAAGCATCATTAGTCGCTTCACTTGTTCCTCATTCATGGATTGCCCTGCATGTGCACAGCACTGTAAGCTGAGGTCATCTCTTCTGTTAAATACTTGATTAGAGACATTTTCCTTTTAAAATATATTGTAAATATCACGGTTTGGAGGCATTACCACAATTTCTGTGCCCTCCATGAAATTGTGATTTACACGGGGCCCTAAACATAAGATATGTCTACACTGCAAGGGAAGGTGTGATGTAGCACAGGTCATTTTACCCAGGCTAGTTTTAATCTAGGTAGTTTTAATCTAGGTGGCAAGGGCTTTTGCCTGGGCTACCAATCAGATCACAAGCCTGCCAGGACCCTGGGTACATACTTGGGTTTCTACCCTGCTCTGAAGCCTGCGCCACCATGTCTTCACTACTGTATTTACCCAGGCCAGTTAGAGTAAAGCTAGCATGGTTATGCCTGCCTGCACATTCCCTTGCAATGTGGACAGGGCCAGCCAGGACTCTGGATATGTATTCAAGCGGCTAGTCCATGGTGCTGTGGCTTCACTGCTGTTGTTATCAGAGCTAGCTAGATCAAAGCCAGCTCGGGGGCATCCGCCCGTGCTGCAGTCACACCTCTGACTGCAGGAGAGACAGACCCTCAAAGCAGCCTCCAGAGTTGCACCAGCCCAGAATCGGAAAGGCTTACCATCTTCTCAGCCCTCTCCCCGCAGTCCTGGTTTCTTGGGTGGCTGATGAACCTAGAGTAAAGGTCACATGGGGGGAGTTGTTGAGCACCAACCCAGCTCATCACACCTGTTACTCAGTATTTAGTGTCTGTTTGTTTTCTCCTGTTTCCACAGATTGGCTGGCAAAGTCTGAAGAGAAACAAGAGACAAACCCAGCATCTGACACCTCAGAATCCGACTCCCCGCAGCCAGTTTATAATCCAAACTGCCAGTGGCTAGAGGAGTCAGACCTCAATGTGGAGACCCTGACGCTGGCCACAGGTGCCTCCCTTCAGCTAGCAGCCATCCCGGCTGGGGTGCTGGGCAAAGCCGACCTGTCTTACTTCTACTGTTGCACCCAGTGCGGCAAAGTGTTCTGGGAGGGCTCACACTTCGGGCGAGTGGTCTCTCAGTTTAAGGAGGCTTTGGGCACTGCAGAGGGAAGCCAAAGCTTCTATGAGCTGAGCTGAGGCGGAGGGTTCCTGACTAGGGACTGGGAATCTCAGCTGGATCCTGATTCCCCGATGAGCCACTGCGGCTTTAACAGGAAATGGACTTTGGTTTGATGTTAAGGGCTGGGAGTTTGGGGCAAAGGGTGCTCACAATACTGTAATGGGCCTCACGATACTGTAATGGGCCATGGAACCTACAGGCCTGATATCAAATGGCCTCCAAGGAGATCATTAAATCTGAGACGTTCCGGGACCGATCCCTGTCCTCTGTTGCACTGGTGTCGCTGGGGGAAGGGGTGTTGCTCCCTAACCACCCATGGAGCCATGTCCATGCCTCCCTCAGAGAACCACCATCCGCACAGCCCTCCTGCCACAGAGCAGCTCCCTCCAGCTCCAGAGGGGGGCGTGAGTGTGATTTGAGGAACTCCATTGCCCCCCAACACCTCCCAGCGCTGCAGGCACTGAGCCGGCCACCTCCTCAGTCCCAAGGCTTCAGCTCTCTCTCTCGGGCCTGATTCTGAGAGGCACCGAGTGCCTGCTCCTCCAGGAGGCGCTGAGTGCCTCCCCTCGCTCCCATAAAGCACTGTGTCATTTCTTGTCTCCCCGGGACATTGCCCTGCGGCATGGGTGATGCCCAGGCCCTGCCCAGCCAAGGACCCTTTGGCAAATCGCCAGGACCCCAGGGCTTCACCTAGCTCATCTGAAATGCAACACGTTGTGGCCGTCTTTGTCCGAAGGGCTGGCTGCTCAGCTAAGAGGGAGGCAGTAGATGCTGGGCCTCCCAGTCTGGGTAGGCAGGGCCAGGGCTAGGACTTTGGGGGCTCCCAGTGAGGTTATTCATTGGTGGGGAGCTTGGTCTCCATTCCCCCATCTTCCCCTCCCAACCCCAGGCAGAGACAGTGTGTGAGGGGCTCAGTCAGCAGCAGACCCCCATCCCCAAAGTAGGCGTCACAGGTGCCATGTGTCACGCTGACTGGAGTGGCTCACGACTACCTCAGGGCAGACTGTCAGAAAACAAGGGCAGACACCCCAAACTGGTGGGGTGGTCGATAATTACATTTCCCCAAGCCAGTAACAAATGTGAACTCCTGGATCACTCTTACCAGGCCCACCATGGAATCACAGACAGTCCCCTTAGACTCTCCAGTCTATCTTGCCACCCAGGCAGGCTGAACTTTGTGATAAAAGATTCTTTAAACCCCAAACCACACCACATCAGGTTTCTCCCAGTCCCAAGAGACCAGTCACCCCAGATCAACTGGTACTACAGATCTTACACCAAAGACAAGGCTGGCAGCCAATTCTATAGTAAACTAACTATAGATTTATTAGCTAAGAAAAGGAAATGAGAGTTATTGAGGTTAAAGCAGGTAAAATATATGCACAAGTGAGTCACAGTTTGTAACTCCAAATCGTGTCAGTGATGTAATAAACTGCCAGTTTCCCAAAGGTCTTTTCAGGGTACCCAGATTGTCTCTGGGGATCTCTGCTTTGCATCCAGTACACTTCCCTGTAAGAGTCCAAACAGTCTAGACATGAAGAATCTTTTCCTGAATCCATTCTTATATCTTCTGACAGAAGACAAGCTGACAGTGTCTCTTCCCACATGGGCTTTTCCTTTGATGATGGAGAATGGGGAATGCAACTTAGTCTGTTGACCTTAAACCATCATACATAATGGCCACTTGCTTTGAAATTAGGATTTTCTGTTAAAGTCCTTAAGTCCTTACTTAGCATTTCACAAGATTTCTTTGATGGGTATTTCATTACAGTGGTGTACACAATATAGATGTTTGCTATTACATTGTAACAGGAACATAAATGAAAATAATACAAGTAACATTCCACTAGTTTTCACACCTGAATACACTCTTACATTTACACTCATTTTCTCTGGACTAATACACAAGTGAATTGGCCTGTGGCTCTGATCAGACCTGGTCTGCCAGCATCACACCAAGAACCAACTGTGGCCACACTGCCTGGCCTTGTGCAGAGCCCAGGGTCACAGGTCACCTTACAGAACATGGTGGCCCCACTAGCAGAATGGAGCTCTGTAGGAGACAGGTAAAGGTCTGGTGAGAAGCAGCCAGCAAGCTCCAGTTGGATTCCACAGGGCAGCCATGCAGTGCAAATGGATGGGTGGAGATGGAGGCAACAGTCATAAGCAGGGGTGAGGCCCGGGTCCCTGCAGAATTGAAGGGCAGGCCCCCATCAGCACTGTCCCCTTGCTGTTTCGGAGATGGGCGGGATGAGGGGAATGTGCTTCACACCCAGCTGCTCGGAGGAGGGGCTCTGTCTTTTCCCCAGGCTTGGTGGTGGTGAGGTTCTTGGTGACTGCTCCTCCCTGCCTTGTTGGAGAGGGTGTCCACCTCTTGGAATGGCTCCCACCAGCCAGGGCCGGCTCTGGCTTTTTTGCCTGCAGCAGGGGAGGGCACCGAGCCCGGCCGCGGCCCCGCTCTCCCCGACCGGCCGGAGCGCCAGGAGGAGGGCGGCGAGCCCGGCCGGGGCCCCGCTCTTCCCTGCCGGCCGGAGCGCCGGGAGGAGGGCGGCGAGCCCGGCCGCAGCCCCGCTCTCCCCGGCCGGCCGGAGCGCTGGGGGAGGGCGGTTAGCCCGCTGCCCGGCCCCGCTCTCCCCGGCCGGCCGGAGCGCCGGGGGATGGTGGCGAGCCCGCCGCGGCCTCGCTCTCCCCGGCCAGCCGGAGCGCTGCCCCCCTCCAGGTGCCGCCCCAAGCACATGCTTGGAGGGCTGGTGCCTGGAGCCGGCCCTGCCACCAGCACAGAGCTAGAGGCTCCTGGCACAGCTACTTGGGGCTCAGCTCCCTTTGTTCTCAGGCAGTGGGAGCCAAATGCTGACCAGCTAATTCAGCATAAAATCATAGATCAGTAGGGCTGGACGGGCCCTCGAGAGGCCATCTAGTCCAGGCCCAAGTGACCCTAGCCCATCCCTGACGGGGTCTGCCCAGCCTGTGCTTAAACCCTCCTGTGACGGGGATTCCACAGCCTCCCTGGGAAGCCTGTTCCAGAGCTGAACTAGCCTTAGAGTTAAAACGTTTTTCTTACTATCAAACCTAAATCTCCCTTGCTACAGATTAAGCTGATTTCTTGGCCAACCTTCAGTGGACACGGAAAGCAACTGAACACAGGGCTCTTTGTAACAGTCCTTAACATGATGTCAGGTCCTGTCCCCGGGTCTTCTTTTCTCAAAACTAAACATGCCCTTTTTCTTTTAACCTTTCCTCACAGGTCAGGTTTTCTGAGCCTTTTGTCATTTGTTGCTCTCCTTTGCACTCCCTCCGGTTTATCCACATCTTTCCTGAAGTGCGGCGCCCACAACTGCACACACTGCTCCTGTCGAGACCTCACCAGTGCCAAGTAGATGGGACAGTTACCTCCCATGTCTGACATATGACACTCCCGTTAATACACCCCGCATGATAGTAGCCTTTTTCCCAATTGCATCACACTGGTGGCTCATATTCAGTTTGTGATCCACTGTAACCCCCGAGCCTTTTTAGCAGTGCTATCACCTAGCCAGTTATTCCCCATTTTGTAGATGAGCATTTGATTTTTCCTTACTAAATGAAGTACTTTTCACTTGTCTTTATTGAATTTCCTCTTGCAGACCAATTCTCCAATTTGTCAATTCAAATCCTGTTCTCCAAAGTGCTTGTAACCCCTCCCAATTTGGTGTCATCTGCAAATTTCAGATCCTACTCTCTTCTTCACTGTGCAAGTCATTAATGAAAATACTTAATAGAACTGGACCCAGGACTGACCCCTGTGGGACCTCACTATTTCCACCCTCCCAGTTTGACAGCCAACCATTGATAACTAATCTTTGAAAATGGGGGGGGGGATCCTGGGGGTGCTAATCCCACACAGCAGAGGGTGGATCCCCAGAACTGCATGCTCCCAAATCCATTGAACTCAGGGCCCTGGGATCCCATAGTGCGTGCGCTAATCTGCCACTGGTTGGAGAGATGCATGGCTCAGCTCTGGAACATGGAGGGGTTACTGGAACCTTGGTCACTCCTGCTCAGCCTCACAGCCAGCATCCGGAGTGCAGCAGCCTCTGGCCATTCTCAGGGAGAGGAGACACCCACCCAGAGCAAGCAGCATCCATTGGGGCTGTCAGACAGCACAGCAGGGCAGGTGGGAGGCCACTTAAGGCCCATCTACACAGCCAGTGGCAGCAAGCCCCCCCACCCAGAGCGAAAGACTCAGGCTCACGCTACCGTGCTAAAAATTGCTGTGTAGCGAGCGCTTTGCTATGGGGGGGGGGGAGCTCCAGAGCCCAAGCTTCAGCCCAAACTGTAATGTCTACACAGCTGTATCACATCCCATGAGCCCACATCTGTTGACCTGGGCTTGGAGGCTCACAGCTGTAGGCTGTGTAAACGTACCCTTGGTGGCAGCATGGCACCCCCCCTAGCTGCTCTGCCCTGCCGTGGAGGGACTGGGGGAACACTGGAGCAAATGGAACTCTGAGTTGGGCCCCCTGTAACTCAAGGGGCCTTGGGCCATACAGGGTTTTGGAGGCCCTGCTCCCCACCCTGCTCTACATTACCATTGGCCCCACACCTCAGAGGACACAGTGCAGTGGCCGTGCAAGGCTGCGAAGCCACTGACTGTCTCTGGTGAGCTTTCCCCTGCGCCCTCCCTCCATTGCCAACAGGGTTGGACACTGGGTCTGCGGAAGAGGGACTCATGCACCCTAGAGTGCCAGTGCTGGTGCCCAAAGCAGACACCAGGAGGCACTGGCCTGGCGCTCAGCACCGGGTGGCTGTGCCACTAGCAAAGCTAGATAGAAACCATGTCATAGGCTCTGCCATTCACCGCTCTGCCATTCCAGCAGCACAGACCGGGCCCTGTGCCAGCTAGGCTCCCAGTGGGCGGCAGAAGCCTTGGCAATGCCCATGGGCATTAAAGCTGTATGCAAACCCCTCTTTGAATGCACTTTGCTGCACAAAGTGGTGCTGCCTCTGTCAGGCCCCAGTGGAACACGGTGGGCCGATTAAAGGCGAGCTGCTCTGTTTTTTTAGCCAGCCCTTTGCTACCCCAGTTAAGGCAGTGCTGGTTGTGGCGGGAGGGAAAGGATGTGGGATGTGCCTTGAATCCATGGCCAGATACCAGCCTCGCACCTCAGCAGTTCTGAATGCTGCTGACAACAGAAATCAAAACCCTCTGTCCACATTACGCCACCTGTTGGCACCAAGTGGCAGAATTTCCCCCAG